ACTTCTATGAAGCAAAAATGAATAAAGAAAATACTCAGAAATCAATCATACAAGAAATTCACAACTAGCGGTAATGATGGGAAGTTGAAAAAGGTTCGGTAAATATAACATAAGTAATACAATTTACAATGAGAATCCTTATACAAAATGCAGTGCATACAACACAGTTCTAAAAGACAGACGCAAAACGCTTAAGATACGAACGTGCGTGAACTGAAACTTTATCCACAGTTTACAATGACAACTTGACTGCTTCTCAGAAGACAAGGAAACGTATGTGATACGCGTCGTTAGCTTATTCATCTTAAGAAATTACTGATCATACGATGAATGAATGAAGTGATGGGAAGAAGTAAAAGCAGGAGCCACTGTCAGTCGTTTGTTCTTGGAGCCTTCTCATTCAGCAAAGAGGGGCAACAGACTGACGGAGTTTTGCGAAGCTTCGAAGGAGAAGGCGAAGCAATAGTAGTATTCGGAGCAGCAAAGGTTCGTCTGTCTGTTCACGTTGCAGCAGCATCCATCCCTTCCCCTCTACATTCAACATCATCATTTGCTGTATTGATTCATCGCGCAGCACTGCTTGAGTCCCATGCAAGAGAATAACTTCGAGCAGAAAGATGCTGAAACGAGAATGCATCTGCATCCTCATCACAACTAATATGATACATATTTGAGCGTTAATATCATGATTTCTGCATAAGTTTATTTACTTAAGGACTACAATGGATTACGTACTTTAAGATGCAAAAATTTGATTACAAGAAAATGAAAAATATAGCAATTTACATGTAAGTGAATTATAGCAAGAATAATGCATTCAAGAAAATAAGAAGACGAAAATGGCTCAAAGTTACATTCCAAAATGTAAGATGGATGCGAATAATTCGAAAAAGTTGCCTGACTGCAAGAAGGATTCAATGAGAGTGCTTGTCTGCGCATTGCTGCGTTGCTACCACTGCAAGAAGTACCCTCGTTGAAGGCACGGATATGGAATGTATCGATGCACAGATACATCGATATATAGGTAGGTAGATAGGTGGATAGGTGCGTAGGTAAATGGATGGATAGATAAATAGATGCAAAGATAGATTATAGATGAGTGGATAGATGGACTGACGTTAATGTATGCAGAAACAGAAACGACACAGTCTCACAGCGCTATGAGCAGAGCGCAGCACCAGAAGAGAATCAATGACTGCCTTCATGTTGAGCAGATAGATGCACGCACCATCCACCATCATCAGAGGAGTAACAGCAACAGCAACAGCAACAGCAACAGCAGTAGTAGTAGCCGTAGTAGTAGCAGTTTCATTTTACCCTCCGCACCACCAACCTTCATCATCATTTGCACCATTTATGCAATCATTTAACCTTTTATCCCATACCATTTCCACCTCACTACTTACTCATTACTGTCACCGTCATTTTGATTAATGTTCATATGTGCATCGAACTATATCTCGTCTTCTTAGCCTCAGCTCACTACTACTCACCTCACCTCCTTCTACTTGAGATTGTCTTCTCTCCACAGCCTCTTTCTGCTGTACAGTTCACTTCATCTCATCTATCAACCATCGCAAAACACTGACAAAGTCAACTTTTTACTGATGGCTACGAGAAGCAATCAATGACCTACAAATATGTAAATCCCCAGCAAATCCATAAAACTTGACTTGGGTTGTTTCAAATGATACATCTAAACGTAAGAAAATCAGCAATGTTTAGCAATGATAAACAGATATAATGAAGCAGAAAATATCACAACACTACCGGATAAAATTTTTGATACCAGTGAAAGAATTGGAAATTTCCGATAATAAGATTAATATTTAATGTATTACAAATTATGGTTACCAAAACCGATATATCTCTGAGGCTGTTTCTTTGAGTAATGTTAACTTTGCTTGAAGAGTAGACAACAAGTCTGCTGCTATGCGTGATAAAAAATTAGTTCTCTATGATGAAATCTGATTACACGTCAATCATATTTCAACAATGAGTAATGTATACGGAATAGAGTTTATGCAACGACTCGGTACCTTCCAAAAAATGAAATTAGAACCACACACATTGCTGGATGCGGCCTTTAAAATGTTTGATAATCTTATTGTGTATGAAGACTGAAGTACATAAGTAAAATTATACTATTCTTCTTAATATACCAACTCTGCTGCTGTAATTACATGCCAATGCCTTGGTAACACGCAAGTATATGCAAATATTATGATTTCATGTACTTCATTTTCTACGTCAATTCAGCGTCCAGACCACTAGTTACAAAAACTCTACGTCTAGAACACTTACAAAGAAGAATCAGTGATGAATGATAAGATCAAAAATTTCAAACTAATGTGAACAACTTTAAGAAATCACTGAGAACATGATACTCTTATGTATGCAAACAACATCAATTTTAATGCCTCACATAATCTTAAGAATATCTCGCAAACGTCTACGAGACTTGAAAGACAGAAAATCAAGTGAAAAACACAAAGGAGCGAAATAACGACAGTTTAGCGCTTGAGGTCGTTTGGCAATGAAGGCAACCACTTTGAAATTCTGCTCTAAGAGCAAATATTTGCTAAGAGAGCAGTGGAAGGTTTCTTGGATGATGGTTGCTAGCATCATAGCAATATCAAATCTACTCATCTTCAACAGCTGACAGCAAAACGGAATTTCAGATGAACGATGAGATAGACGATGGCTTCTACGAGGTAGAAACAAGGAGAAACACTCGCAGAAACACGATTACACTTTTTAGCTCCATCTTTTCTTTAGATCGTTTTAAAATTTTGATACACTTTAACTTCCATTATTTTCGAATTCATATCAAATATTTGAGATTTGAGATTGAAAAAAAAATATTATACATAAAGTATATATTACAAACGAAAAAATTTGCCCATTCAGAAAACATTATGAATAAACGAATGACCAGTTGAGCTTAACACAATAAATACATGACCGCGAGCTCTCTGCTAGCAACAATCACTACAATTACCGATTCATTTTATATTTATATAATGCAAACCATCTTTATTAACCGCATATTAATTCTTACTTACAAACGATGAAAATACTAAGGACAAGTGGAAGAGAAGAAGAAGAGTAACCTAAATTAATTATCCTGCAAGGCAATTTAATTTCAAAGCCTAAACAAGCATTGTTTATTCAAAGAACAATTTTGTATTTCAAAATATTATCACATACTCAGCATAATTACTTCTGAAAGATTGATTAAAATTCATAAAAATACTATCAAATTTAGAGCGTTACGAACTTGTGAAGTTACGTCTAAAAGTAAACATGAAAGCTACGACAGCCCATGTGCTCGAAATAATAAGCATACATTTATCAATACCAGCAAATGTAAATAAACGTACCTGGGATGGAATACCACCACTCAATGTTAACGGTGAATAGTGAATGGGAAGGTTGATGCTGAAAGAAGAAGAGGGGGGAAGTCTCGCAATTTATGCCACTGAAGTCTGAAGGAATTTTGCAGAAGAAAGATCAAAGATGACTGCAAGATAATGATATTTCTGAAACAGACAACACTGCCAGAAAGGAAACTGCAGTGAGTGTGACAGGGAATCCAGGACTTTTCTTGAAATCTTGCATGGGATTGACTAGAATGCACAATTAAGAAAGCAACCTTTGCACAATAGCAGCATGAAGCAGAATGGCAGAAATTTTATTTTCAAAATACGAAAAACTAGATTTTGCTAGATTAGAAATTTCTGAAACAAGTTAACAGATAATAAATAGACAATCATGCTGTGAGCATTGTTTTGCCAAGTAATGATGTCACTGTAAATACAAAACTATTATCTTCGATAAATAATTGCAGTAATACCATTGGCTTCATGGCTATCACCATAACTTCATCATCTCAATAATGATAGTGATTATCACCTTTGTTAAAAAACTAAAAAGATTAATCGCCACAAAAAATACTGATTAATGTGGCGAGTTACAAACTGATGACGTAGTCACGTCTGAAATTAAACAAGTAACCAACGACAGTCGATATGCTCGAATTAATAAGACAATGTGACTGAGATGACAATGTGACAGATGGAATACCAGTAGTGTTAACATCGAATAATGCACTTATATGAGCAAAAATAAGTCACGTTATTAGCGCCGTATAGCTAAAAAGGCTTCTTGGCATATCAAAGCAAGAGGATACTATTAATACTTTATCAGTGATAATCTCTAGCACATACCAAAATCGTACGAGAGAGAGCTTTGGTAAAGACAACGAATGCGAGAGGCGGATGAAAGCAAGTAAACGTGATTGAGTGAGCAGCATCTAAAACAGTGATGGGATGAAATCTTTCCGTTGAAAAAGTCCCTTTCTTCTCTTCTCTTTCCTCACTCGCCTCTTCTTCCTCAGCACAATTGTCATTCTGACTTCTCGCACGTCACAATCATTTTTACTAACGTGGTAACATCGTATACTCACTCAAACACTGTAAAAATGCTGCTTACTCGTAAATCCATTTACAGCTTCACACCGAAGAACGACGTAATGACTACCTTGATGCAGTCTTAAACTGCAAGAAGAATGAAATAATATCGCACGGAAGGAAAGGATTCATTTGGATTGCGTTTCACCGCCTGCCTTGCCTGCGCTCCTACCTCAATACCAATCGCTCAGAATGCCGCTCATTCAGGTGAGTTGCAGCTGCGAGAACACACTCTTTTCCTTCTTCTTTCCTTCTATTCCCCTCCCTGCCCTTCCCTTCTTTTCCTTTTCTTTCCATTCCCTCCATTCCTCTTTCAAATGTACAGATGAGAGCTGATGTGTGTGTGTGCGTGTGTGCATGAGTGTGTCTGTGTATGAATGAATGAATTAATGTACGTGTCGTCTTGTTCGATTCCATCATCCAAAGCGATGCTGCATTATCCTTCCTTACAGGGACTTACTAACTGTACACTTAAGTACTCCACTCTCCAGATGTACCCTTCCAAATCGATACCACTTTGCCCTTTGCTCTCGACTAAAAATCACAGAGATATGCCATCTGAGGTCAAACGTAATAAATGCAGGAAAGCATTTGCAATATGCAATGCAACGTTATACATTAACTTTGACAATAAATAACTGACTATCTAGTTGTTTTGCATGATAATTCTTACAATGTTTTCATAAACATAGAAATGACAACTGATACTGATATTAGTTATCACGAGAATCACGAATAGCGATAATTTTGTTACAGCTATGTATATCATTTTCAAGCAAAAATAATACGCCTCCTTGTACCTCATACTGATCTTAATGACAACATTCGCTCATAGAATGTTCTAATAAATTCCAATTTGTATCTTCTACGTTACGGTTTTCTGTAATCAATACAAGGTTCACCAAAAAAACAACGAAAAAGCGTTGGTCTTCTTAAACAGCTCCTAAATATCAAGAAGAAATAATCATTGACATGAAACGAGATCATTAGTAATAATAGTAATAATTAATAAACAAGAATGCGAAGAATGACAATACTGACCTTACAATTGTTATCACTATCATTATATTTCATCACTTCCATTTATCGCTTATCTACCACTACTTTTGCTTATATCATAATGTTACTGTTTTTCTGTTGTCACTCATGCAAAAATTTATTAGATATAAATCAGTCATAAGAAACATAAGAAGCAGCAGGAACGACAACACAACAGCATCAGTCATAGCGTATCTGCCATTAGGATACAGGAGGCAACAATCGATTTCGAGTGTCTGTGACTTAAGCGTCATTTGGTAGTTAAAACTAATGAAAAATGACGATAACAATGCAGATGACGAAATCGTTAGGATTGCGATAGATGCCTACTGATTATCGCACAATTGTTCAGCAATGATGAATTCATAGAAGAGGGATATCTTGTCATCATCGTTAATATCACTGCAGCCATTATTATCGTGAATAGTAGTAGAAGAGGACAGGTGCTGCATCTGAATAATGAGAAGGACTGTATCAGATGCCAAGCATTTATTCATTCGTCATTTCCTGTCATCTCTGCACAATACAATCTCATTTCCCGTTTTATAGATGGATGGATGACTGGGTCTCTACATAGTTGAGAATCGAGCAACAGCGAGAAAATTGGAGAGAGTTCATGACTGAAAAAAGGGAAAGTATAGGGAAAAGATAATTATTCTTGTCGGGTTCCATTTTCTGCTCTCCCATATAACTGCCAAAAATATGCAAATTTTGTTACATTTCTGCTGATTCCAGTACACAGAATCGTGTCGAAGCAAACAGTTCCAAACTAACATCATGTGCAGATATATACTACATTACCATTTAATATCACTCACAAACTTTTCATGTGGTTCATTTTCCAACCTATTTTGATCATGACGTCTCTCTACTAATAATATTACAGTTTCAGTATAAGTGCTGAGTTACTCAAAAGATACGAATTTAAGGAAATTTCTTGTTTATGAATGAATCCTGTGGTATCATTCGAAAATCCCCAAGGGAAATGCAAATGAAAAAGAGTTTATGATGAGAAATGGAGCATGTCGAAATTGTGTAAAAACAGACAATAAAGAGTGATTTCAGTGATTCTCTATATGGGAAATTTGCTGTGAATTGCAGACAACCATCACTGCGGTTGCGATGAAAGAAGGAAATGTTAGTAGTGAAACTGAGAAAAGAGCATTGTCCGAAACAAAACTGAAGCAAACAAACTGACTAATGCATGCATTCATTTATTGTCGTGACAAAACATGAATAACGGGATTGTTCGTACTCAAAATTGAAGAACTGTCGTGAAACAATGTTTATTAACTAACAATATGCATTGAAAACAAGGAATGCACTCCGAAGGGATTGTTAATTTGATATGATTTTGTTGCTGTCTTCTGATAGAGGTAAAGTAAACTTCTTACCGACCATTTCTGTAGCTTTTTCAATCAAACATTTTGCATTCAGGAAGATGAAGAATTAACGAATTCAACCAATTTTATCCTGCCATAGAACATATGTAATGATTGAAAACGAATTTTCATAAGGTTTTGAAAATAATCATTATCATGTATTCATAATTGGTTATAACTATAATAATGATTGTAAATGCTTGTTCATTGACTAAAGTGTGTTTCTGCTCCCTCTAAGAAGTTCAAAAATGAAAAAACAAGAAACAAATGAGCTAGTTTTGTTGTTATCCATAGCACTCTTTGAAGCTAATGATATTGTTGATTGCGATGACAGCGATAAGAGCGACGATGTTTGTTGCGTTTCAGATGAGCAATGATGATTCAGAATATTAGCAGTACGGAGAGAGTTGCACAAGAATATACGAGAAAGAAGTGCAAAAGAGTTTGCGGTGTTCGTCTCACATTTTAATTTAAATTCTTCGTTTGCATTTGAAAGCTTCTCTCGGTACTGCAGTGCTTAACTACAAGAGAGGGAGACATTTTGAAGAAGGCTGTTTGTAGAAGCAGAATATGACAGACTTTTTTCAGATGTAAACTTTGCATAATGGCTTTCATTCAAGTATGAAGTACGCTGCTGTTAACATTTTCTCCAGCTCGAAAAAGCTTCTTTGCCTAAGCATTAATTCATTTAGGATTTTATTTTGCAATCCAAATGAATGATAAGCTGCCAATGATGCAAGATTCGCTCTTGCTCTCATATTCTGTTTGTTCTATTTCTGAGCACTCCGCATAATTGTCACAACTTTCGTACGTAGTCAGTACTCCACAACTTAATTAGACCAAAAATTACACATTTTTCTTTACAGAAATAATTATTATAATAAAGATTTGAAAAGGCGAAAAAGTCAATTAGGAAGAGAAAATATGCAAGAAAAGTAAAGTTACCCACTATCCTTGAAACAAAATCTGATCAATTTTCAATCCCTTGGAAGTTCGATTTTATAGAAAAAATAAGCTACACACTGTTATAACATGGTAAGTACTAAAATTTTGAAACCAGTGTTTCTCGCTGGTTAAATTATTCACAATGACAATGTTTATTATGATGGAGATGGTAGCAGTAGTGACGATGATGATGCTATTGTTGTATGCATGTTTTGTACGAATGAAACATATAGGTTTCTTAAAAAGGGAGAATAATAGGTATGAAAGGATAATTATATTCGGTAGCAATATTACACATTCTTCAACTTTGATGCAGAAATGAATTTAAAAGCTCCGAAGAAATCTTCTGCTGCCTAATTCGGCACTTTTTTATCTTAGAAATATAAATTAGTTGTTCATTTCAGTCGATACGACTAATGAATCAAAAATAAAGGTTGTTTCAAGAAAATACGCATCAATAACGTTGAATGATGTGAAGGAAATAGATTTTGTACATTTTTAAAATGTGTAAGTGCATTTTTCAAAGTGAAATTAGACGTAGAAATACGTGAAGCATGGAGATAATTAATTTTGCAAAGAATGAAAAAAGAAGAATGCAGCAAGTCAGTAAATGTAAATAGTTTTCTAGTCGTGCAAGAATAATGAATCTTGACGTGAGTAGAGAAGAAATCTGAAAATGAATGACTGAATTGGTTGGTTAGTTGGTTGGTTGAATGGTAAAGGAGCAAACAAGGTGAATTCTTCCCGAAGCGAAATCAGAAAGTTAAACTGGTTGGTTGATTGTTGATGTTCCCTTGCATTTCAGTGAATTTGTGTATTTGCTACACAATCATTTCGACAAGTTTTCCATCCTAAATTCTCAACTCAGAGTAAACGATTCTAGTTTTTCCGACAAAGTAAAGATTTATTTGCCTCAAAAATACACTTAAATGAAAATTATCTGCCAAGAATAAAGCTTGCAATTAGTTGCGCAAAATAACAATATAAATGTTGTAGAGCGATTTGCTAGGTACTAATGAAGACCATTCATAACAGTTATTATCATATCAACGAGTATCGAGAGTACTTATGTGCGTGTTTGATTTAATACTTAGATGTGATATGAGAGCTTTGATACACAGAATTTATGACACTGATATGTTGCTGAACTGCATTTTATTGATGAAAATGACACATATGTAGTGATTCATCTCGCTTCAGCAACTGTAAATGTCTGGTAACTCTATCACGTGAGGCATCACATGATAAAGAACTAGAAATGAAAGTGAAAAATGAGGGAAGTTATAAGTTGCTTTGAAGATTTACATAATCTTGAAAATAATTGTGAGGAAGAGATAAATTTAAGTCGCACGGATTGAAGGACAACCAATGGTAATGGTGACAAGAATAAGATGCAGAAGTGAATCATCTATTCTCTTTTCTTTGCTAATCCATTGAAGTCTTATTTTCTGCGTTTGTTAAACTTGCTAGAATTCAACTCCCTGATTCTACATAAACATGATTTGTAAACATTATGCTGAGACTAATCTTTCTAGTCCAATATTCTTAATATTTTTTTTAACATCCGGCCGTGTCAAAGAAGCAAATATGAAACTTTGACTTTTTAACCTTATTCAATTTTTGTGTTAGGTTCAGACAATTTGTGATTGACGTGAGGAAATGAGTAAAAGTAAGTCAATGTCACTTTTAGTTCTTCATGCATGTCATTCCCTGACAAGAACCTTCTTCCAAATTGTTTATGCAATAAATTTCAATGTTCTCAAACAGTATATTCCTTAGAAACTATTGTAACCGAAAATTAGATGCAAAAATATATTTGTGCGTACTTACAAAAAATATCACTTCACTAATCAAATTCTGCTTGAAGAAACATCAAAATACACAGAAATAAAAAGTGGAAGTATATTTAGTTCACTCAATGTTTATTGCTGAAATGAGATT